AGCCCTGCAATACTGGAACTCGGGGCTTGAATGTTTCCTTCCGTTCTTCTCGTTTGAGAAGTGCCAAGCGTGTGATTCCCTTGGGGTTTCTCATGCCGGTTCTTTGCCCATTTCGTTCTCACGCTCTGCTTTGTCTTCTCAAGCTGCCTTTTGAAGTTGTCTGCTCCACTTTTCCTTCGTCGTGTCTCCTGTTCACTTTAGCTACTTTTTCAAGATCAAATTTCAGAGTCCTCAAAGCGGGAATCAAGTAGAAACCACACAGGGAAGGAAGAGGTGATAATGCACTACCACTTGTCTCATATCAAGTCTGAGAGTAAGCCGAAGTGGACGGGATGCAGGACACATGGAGAGAGGCTGCCCTTGATGGAGCATTAACAGTTCTTCCATAATAGCAGGAGGGGAGCCAGAGAGTGCAGAAGGGACATATGTGAGGTGGGAGCCTGAGGATGGCCCATCTGAGAGCCTCTGTGTCCTTGGTGTAATAGGAAGTGATTTTATCAGCTGAGAGAGAGGGTGGGGAGGAGGTGTTGAAGCTTTAAAGGGAAAGGAGGAAGTGTGAAATAGTTATATCTAAGGGCTGGAAGTGGGAAGGCTCATTCGTTGGCAGCTGCCATGAATGTTAAGTGAGATTGGGCATGTTGCTTTGTTTTCCCTCGAGACAAATACAACTCCTTAGGTAGACATGGTGGAAACTTGGATTCAATTAGGGTTGAGTTTTAGCCTGATGCATATGCGAGAGAGAGGGAGAGAGAGAGAGAGAGAGAGAGAGAGAGAAAGGGGATGTGAGGTGTGTGTATGCTCGGTGGCCTTAGAATGACGGCTCTGGAAGACAAGCCGAGGAAGGAGAACAGACAGGCTATGAGGAGAGTGAGGGCATCAGGGCAATCACTAAAGTGATCCGTGGGTTCTGGTCATTGTCAGAGACAGTGCAGTGGGACACAAGATGTTCGGAGAGCAGGATGCTTTAAACAGAGATTTTGGAGGCGATAGAGATGTTTGAATGAGGGATGTCATTGTTCATAGATGAACCTTGGTTGGAAGTAGAAACTACCAGAAAGTTATTTTCCCTGACGATGCAAAGGCATTCGATTCTGTGGATCATAACAAATGATGTATAAAATTGTAGGGGGGAAAGGAATTCCATAACACTGAGTTGTGCTCATGTGGAACCTGTACATAGACCCAAGAGGCAATCATTTGAGCAGAATAATAGGATACCAGATGGTTTAAAATGAGCAAAGGTGAGTACTAGGGTTGTATCCCTTCTCCATACTTATTTAATCTGTATGCCGAGCAGATGATCCTAGACGATGGTCTATATGAACAAGCACATAGTGTCAGGCTTAATGGAAGGCTCATTAACCACCTGCTATGAGCAAATGAGGGAGCTCTGGTGACATCGTGGTTCAATATTTGAAATATTGGTCAATAGTTCGAAAGCACCACCCTCGTTGAGTCAGAAAGATGAGACCCTCTGCTCAGAAACCTACATGGGCAGTTCTACAGGGTCCTACAAAGGCACTGTCAGTGGGCAACTACTTGATGACAATGAGTTTTCTAATTATATGCAGATAACACAACACTTAGTACAAAGGAACGAGAGACAATTACGGAGGGAAGAGGAAGGAGCAATAAGGATCAGGTTCTGCCTGGCCCAGTGACCCCAGACATAGGTAGTGTTTGAGATACTGCATAGCTTGAGGGAATTCTGGGAAGCAGTCTACTGAAGGTGGGCAACATACAATCTGATTCCGCTATTGGGCCAAGGTAGGCTGCAGGATACACAGGGCCCAGGCAGCAAGGCCCACAGAGCACGAGCCTCCCAACACATGCTCACAATCTCCTTCTAGCAGAGCTATAGCCACATCTTTGTTTAGAGAGAGAGTCAGTACAGCTCTGGGAAAGAAGGAAAGGGGCCAGGAATCAGAAGGCCCTCTCGTTACTGGTGCCAGCCCCCTCAAGGCCACCAAGATGTGACCAGCCCAACCTGGGTCATCAATACCAGGGTTTTGTTGTTGGGCTCTATCAAATTGATGTTTGACTCATGATGACCCCAGGTGCCAAAGTAGAACTGACTCATGGGATTATCCAGGCTGCCATTTTTCCTGAAACGCATCATCTGGTCTTACTCCCTCAGAGCCATTAAGTGGGTTTGAACCATCAACTTTGAGGTTGACAGGCAAGTGACGAACTGGTATACCATCATCACTCGCTCCCTCCAGTCTACAGACAGGAAAAAGGAGGCTCGGAGAGTTCAGTAATGCCAGTCTTTAACTCCCCCCAACCTTGTGTTTTGTAGTCACTGGTTTCTCTCATTTCCCAAAGATCCGCTATATCTATAGACAATTTTTAAAAACTACATATTCCTGAGCTCCATTCTGGAATCAGCATTTTTTTAATCACCACAGGTGTTTTTTATTGTGAAAGACGTTTGGGAACCCTGCAGCTTGCAAAAACATTTTAAGGTCGCTGCCTTCTCTTGATTTAGTTCATGTTCAGAAAATTACTTCATCTCTTGATAACTCAATTCCCAGCCTTTGATTAAGACACTATGACAATGGCCTATTGTCCTAAGCTAGTTGCCTAATACCGCTCCCAATACAAAGTTAAAAAGCGGGAGACCCAAGTTTGCAGGTAATGGATAGAATGGAAAATCAATAGTAATAATTAAGTGAAATGAATTAATTCTGAGGAACTTTTATAACACATCATTCTATAGAATTGCTAATATAATGTTAATATGGAAAATAAATGCCAATTAAAAATAAATGAAGTACCATAGTATTATGTGGGGATTATAGGTTTTTTTGTTTTGTTTTGTTTTTTAAAATCATTTTATTGGGGGCTCAGACAACTCTTATCACAATCCATACATAGAGGGGATTATAGGTTTTGAGGAGAAAACTATCCCATCTCCTTAACTTACCAGGTTAGAGAAAAGCTGAGTTCTTTAGCCCCGCCACCTGCAAGATGATTACAATATATAGCTAGCTTAAAATGTTTTTGCAAGCTTTAGAAATATGATGTAAAGATCTATGAGGCTATGTGAAATTTGTAAAGCAGGAGTCAATACGGCAGGTGCTGGTAACAGAAGTAATAATAATAAGAGGGACCACGGCTGTTGAGCTGTCCCAGTCTAGCTTTGATTGTTCCAGGAACCACACGGTGCAAGCTGACCTCAGAGTGATTGCTGTCGGCGGGGCCATTAGCCGCGAGTATGAAAGCACCGAGCCAGGAGCTGACGTTGGGAAACCTTGGAGAGGCCGTGCCAATCAATACGCTAACATCTGCTTTGTCCTCCAGCCTCACGCCCATGTTGACACAAGTGGCCATTAGGGGACAATGAGCTGCAGCAGAAGTAATGGGCTGGAAGGAGGCGGCAGCACACTGGATCGGGCACTTGAGGAGATAGTGTTTGAATCAATGGCAGGTTGTCATTAATGTTGGCTGATGGCCAGGATGAAGTCGGGGCATCATTCCACTCTGACTCACCCTTCACGAGGGAGCAGGGTTCTAGCTGCATCTGCAAGATGCTCTTTGACCTCAACAGCAAGCGCGCCGCCAGTAGGAATGTTACCAATTCATGTTGTGTGCTTTGGCACCGTGAAATATCATTTTCTCTAGAGAGGAAGGAAAGCCATGAAAACCACTGTACCTGAGTACAAGCTAAACCTGAGCGCAATGACTGCTCCTGAAATTCTTTTAGTCATGTCTTCTCTTGTCTGGAAAATGACTGGGCGAGCTGCAAACATCGCTTTAGAACTCTCCTGCCTTGAAGGGGCCACTGTGCACTTACTTTTCCTTTGGATGGATGAAAGGAACAACAAAGGGCAGAGAGAAGAAGAAGAAGAAACAACTCTTAGGATGGTTGTAAGGACGTAGGCTAACACAGCAGGCTGGAACGACAACCGAAGAGTTATTTATACACGGTGGTGGCATGCAGACGGTTCACACTGGTTCAGAAGAACTGATACCTAATTTTTGGTTGAACTCAGAGAACGGGTTGTTAAAATGGTACTTGTAATCGGTACTTCTAAGGTGGGCAGCTGGAGAGGCGTCCAATGTGCAAATCACAATGTACAATTCTCACTCTTTTTTAACATTCATCTGCACAACAGCGTCTTCTAAGCGCCCGTGGTAATGCTCATTTCATTCATAGGTATTAAAAAATTAGGAGGAAATTATGCTTGTAATACTTATCCATTTCATGAAACTTCGTATACTTTTGATGAAATGCCACCTTTTTATTCCTTGACGTTCTTTGCTTCAGTAGACAAACACACAACATAAAAAGTGCCAAACAGCCAGAGGGTGACACGCTGTCACTCATTTCAGCTTTCTGTGATGCCCCAAATTCCCACCAGATACTATGAGTTACTGTGATGGGTTGACTTGCATTTCCAGGCAGCTTTGATAGTTTCTCAGCTACCTTGTTTTGTGTTATTGCTGGTGGTACTTTTCTTTAAAACTTAACTTTTAAAACACAAGAACACTGTCACTTGATTCTAACCATAGAGCAGCAAAGAGGATTTGGTGAATGCTCACTTCTACCGTGTCCACCCAGCATGGGACAGTCTCAATCTTTGAACAATTGGATGGCTTCACCTTGACTTCTCTTTTCTGCCTCTCCTCTTTCCATCTGCCCCCCCCCCTCCTTTCCTTCCTTTCCCTATTAATACAGACGTCCAGGGGAGCATCTGGTTATCCAGATAGTTCCCTTACCCCAAATGCTCCCCACCATCTGAGATTTGGTCCTGTTAACATTATGGCATGAAGGGAAAGAAGGCATCACCACATCATCCTACAAATGGAGACCTCTGGCCCAGGGGGAGGCAGTCGCTCCTTTATTCTGCATCCCTGAATGAAACACACGTTTGTCCTTTTCCTTTTGGAACTGGCAAGAAGTGAGCGAATCAGTAGGTTCTGGTGACAGAGACAGACAGAAAAGCATCTTCCTGCACAAGATGGGCCTGGTGGGTGGTGTGGGGCCACCCAGGCAGCTACAGATTGCACCCATCCAGCCAGCGTTCCAGAGTGTCGGAGTTCTGACAGTTCAGGGACCAGGAAGGCCTGTGGAGAGGAAAGTCAGAACAATGAATGGGAGGGAACCCCCTAGTGGGCATCTCTCTCCAGGGTACCACTGCCTTCACATGCATCAACCACCACCACCACCACCACACCCTGGTTTGGCCTTTAAAGCAGTTGAGTTTGCCACCTTGCTGTGGGCACAGGTAGGAAGGATTTGTCGATCTCAAGTCCATCGCCCTTGCTCTCACCACACCTTGGCATGAATGCTGGTACTCCCCAGCTCTTCATACCCCTCTCGTCCCATGCCACACCCCCAAACAGACAAGCAAAACCTCACTGCTAGTGAGTGGATGCTGGTTCATAGCAACCCCGGAGGACAGGGTAGAACCGTCTCTGTGGGATTCCGAGATTTTAACTCTTTACGGGAGTAGAACGCTTCATCTTGCTCCCTTGGAGTGGCTGGTGGTTTCAAACTGCTGACCTTTCGGTTAACAGCCCAACATGTAACCACATACTTAGGGCATCAACAAAACAGGTACTAGTTGGCCCGTTTTGTTGATGTCTTATGTTGCTACCTATCTCCTACAGTTCCCGTCTATGTAATTGAAATGCTCTGTCTCGGCAGGTCTTTGAAGAGGACATGATTTCTTTATAATAAACAAGAAGTGGGGTGAGCAGGGGCTATTGGGTCTAACTCTTGCTACAGTGGCCTCATAAGCAACTGGACCCAACATGCGCAATTACCGGACAAGGACAGACTAGGTTCATGGATAGCAGGTTTCTGATTTATTCTGAGAGAGCCATCCACATCTGCTGATCTGGCAGCATCAGCCAGGAGGGCCAGCAATCATGGCTCGTTGCCGTAATACAGACACAATGGGCACCCCAGTCCCTGGTGCCATTTAAAAGTGAGGGAAGTCGCAAAAATCAATCATTGCAATGAATTCGGTCAAGTAACATTTTAACTGTGTAACCCTTACATACAGTTGTGTCCTAAAATATATAAACCATGATATTTATAACTTTAACTTTAATATAGTTTGGTACACATGCAGACACAAGCTAGAATGCTAGCATGAGTTTTCATTTAATATTCTAACTTAATTATTTAATACTAACAGAGCAACCATCTGAAAATATTAATATTTATCAAATATTAGAAGTTTCCGTTGATGTACCAAGTGAATTTTGTACTTTATTGTCTGTTGGGAATAACCGACAACACTGGTATTACTGTTGATATTATTCTGTGTGTGCGCATAAGCAAGGCAGGAGGCACGTTATTGTTGTTATTATTAGGTCTCATTGATTCAGGTCCAGCCCGTAGCAACCTTATGCCCGGTCCTTTGCCATCCTCACAATTGTTCCTGTACTTAAGCCCATTGTTGGAGCCATAGGGTTAATCCATCTCCTTGAGGGCTGTCTTCTTTTTCACTGCCTCTTTCTGGTAGTTATGTAATCTGTTGTCAATTTGAGAGGATTATGGGTGGGTGGAGTCTAGCCTGTCAATAATTGTATAGCCAATGAGGTCTCTGTATGGGCATGGCCTTCCCCTGAGGATTCTGGGAATCCTGTAGTTCCTCCTTGGAGGTGGAAAACACTCTCTCTCTCAACTCACTCCCTGGGAGACCTCTACTGACAAGACACATGGCACTCTGCTGACAGATCCTGTGCCCTGGGAACTGGAGGAGCCACATGGAAACCCCTGCCAGTGCTAAGATGCTTCTATTGCCACTGGATCCACAAGACTTTCCACCCACTGGCCTGTGGTCCTCCTGCATTCAGCACCATTGCATGTATTTCATGAGTCTGAAGAGGAATTTATAGATTGGTATTGGACATATGGGCAAATATCAGACTATGGACTTGATCTGGACTGGGCTGGGATGTTTTCTCAATAGTCAACTGCTCTTGTATATAAAGCTCTTTCTTAACCACAGGGGTCTCCACGAATTTGTTTCTCTAGTCAACCCAGACTAACACACTCTCTACCCTACCTAACATGACGTCCTTCTCCAGGGACTGGTCTCTCCCAACAACATGTCTGAGGGATGCAAGATGAAGTCCCATTATCTTTGCATCTGAGGAGTACTCTGTCTGGATTGCCTTCAAGACAAATCAGTTTGTCCTTTAGCAGTCCTTGGTATTTCAATATTCTTCTCCACAACACAATCCAAATGCATTGATTCTTCTTCAGGCTTCTTCATTCAATGCACAACTTCCACATGCATGTGAGGCCACTGAAAAATGGCTTGGGTCCAGTGCATCTTAGTCCTCAAAGTAGCCTCCTTGCTTTTTAAGACTTTAAAGAGGTTTTATGCAGAAGATTTACCCAATGCAATGCGTCATTTGATCTCTTGACTGCTGTTTCCATGAGCATTGATTGTGGGTGCAAGCAAGATGAACTCCTTAACAATCGACATCTTTTCTCCATTTATCACGATGTTACCGATTGGTCCACTTGTGAGGATTTGGGTCTTCTTTACATTGAGTTGTAATCCAGACTGAAGGCTTGGTCCTTAATCTTCATCACTAAGTATTTCAAATCCTCCTCACTTTCAGCAAGCAAGGTTGTGTCATCTGCATACCACACATTGTTTCTAAGCCTTCCTCCAAGCCTGATGCCACCTTCTTCATAGAAGCCAGCTTCTCAGCATACAGATTTAATAAGCATAGTGAAAGAGTATAACCCTGATGCACACTTTTCTGATTTTAGACCCTGCAGTATTCTCTTGTTCCATTTGCACAACTGCTTCTTCATCTATGGACAAGCTTGGCATGAGCATAATCACGTTCTGGACTCCCCACTCTTCTCCAGGCCATCCATACTTTGTTATGATTTACACAGCTGAATGCCTTGGCATAGTCAATAAAGCACAAGTAAACATCTTTCTGGTATTCTGTGCTTCAATCCAAGATCCAACTTACCTCAACTATAATATCCCTTGATCCATATCCTCTCCTGAATCTAGCCTGAACTTCTGGCAGCTCCTTGTGAAAGCACTGCTGCAACCGTTGTTAGATGATCTTCGGCAAGATTTTACTTGCATGTGTTATCAACGATATTGTTCCATTGTGCATTCTGTGTACATTCTTTTGGGCCACCTTTCTTCAGAATCAGTGGCCATATGGATCTCTTCCAGTCAGTTGGCCAAGTAGCTCCCTTCCAAATTCCCTGGCATAGATGAATGAGTACTTCCAATGCTTTATCAACTCGTGGAAACATTTCAATTGGTATTCCAGCAATTCCTGAAGCTATTGCTTTTGACTAATTCTTTCAGTGCAGCTTAAACTTCTGCGTTCAGCGCCATTGGTTCTGCTCATACACTCCCTCCTGACGTGGTGGAATGGCCACTGGGTCTTTTCGGTACACAGACCCATTAAAAGGATGCAACATGCAATATTAACTTATCACGCAAAACACGTTTCTGTTTTACAACCATGTGTTTCCAGATTTAACTTCCAAGAGAGCAGCAATGGAGTGTTTCTCAGAACATGACATTTATATTATATCAGAATATTTATGTATGTCCACCTAAAGAAATTGAGTGATTCCTGGAGGAAATAAGTTAAATGAATATGTAAATCTTAAGAATTATATGCATTTTGTTTATTTTCCATTTCCCTTCAGATCGACTCTATTTTAGGAAATTGATTGACAGGACTGTGATTCCAAAAACAAACGGACTCATCTGGATATGGTGCTATTCATGGCCTGCTTAGTTGAGCTCCTCCACCACTTGCTGGCTTCCTCCTGCCCCACTGAGATAGTGATCGGTTCAGGGCGGGGCTGAGGGTTGAGGGTGAGTGAGTATGTGTGCTCCCTGGGGTGCTCCAGACACCAGGGCTGAGGGAGCAGGTTCTGTTAATGCGTTTTGCCCAGTTGTCATGCAAGGGCCAGGGATGGAGCCAGGGTTTGTGGGGCTGGAAGCGGTGAGGAGCTTTCTCTAAGAAAAAATACCATCAAAGTAAAAGTCGGCAGAGCCCCTGAGGCTGAAGCCTCATGAGCTTTCCAGGCACAACTGATAACGGCCGTGTCAGGGTCGCCATCTAAAAAGGCCCTGTGCCTTGATCGAAGGCAGCTCTCTGGTGGCACGGGGATTCAGCATCTCGGCTGCTAACCAAAAAAGCAGTTTGAACCTACCAGTCGCTCCTCCCACAAAGATGTGGCCGCCAGCTTCCCTAACAATGACAGCCTTGGAGATCCAATGGGGCACTTCCACTCTGTCTTGTCGGGTCTCCAGGAGTCTGAATCGATTTGACAGCAGCCACCAAGGCACGGGTGGACTGAGTGGCTTCTTCAAGTGTATTCACTTGGGTCAAAATGTGGCCTTGAAGATAGCCTGTCTCAATGTATTTCTGCAGACGGGCTGAGCAGGCTCTGCTGCCTGCAGGTAGCGCCCAAGGAACCCTTGGAGGTCACTACTTCATAGGCTGCCCCTCGGTGGACGTGGACTCCTGGGGGCCGGGGCCTCCTTTCCTCTTTCTCAGGGAGCTCAGGCGATTGAAGAGCAGTGATCGGCTGCTAACCCAAGCTGCTCTGTGGGAGAAAGGCGTGGCAGTCTGCCTCCATGGGATCAACGGCCGTGGAAGCTCTTTGGGGCAGTCCTTCGCTGTCCAGGAGGGTGGCAGTGAGTCGGGATCAGCTCCACAGGACGTGGATTTGTGTTTGTGTTTCTCTTTCCCCATGTCATGACTAGGCCTGTCTCAGTGTCGGCGTTATTAGGGCTGCCTTGTGGGGTCATGTTGTTGTTGTGTGTGTGTGTGTGTGTGTGTGTGTGTGTGTGTATGTGTGTGAGAGAGAGAGAGAGAGACTCGTGAGCCACCTTGGTTTGGGGTAGACTTAGCATGTCACTCATTGTCCAAACGGGGCCCTTTTGAGAGTGACTATGACAAAATATATCAGATCAACAGGCATCACCTGGAAACCACCCACCCACCAGTAAACCAGGATGTATGGCCATCCCAGGTATGGTAGCTCAACTCCCATTGGCCTGCACTTGTGTATACGCGCGCGCGCACGTGTGTGTGTGTGTGTGTGTGTGTGCACACGTGGGCTTCCTGTCCAGTGGGGTTCGTGTTCCTAGACAAGAGGCCCGAGGGAAGCGTGGCTTGCTCATCTGTTACACTGCCTGCGTTCCTGAAACCGTTTCCCTCGGTCTTGCTCATTTGTTGACGCCGTCATTCATTCATTGACTGCTTTCCATTCACTTGGTACTCACTTTCCCATTGAATTCAGCATTTATTTTGAAGAACAGAGAGAGACATGGTGCTATTACTGCAAGTATGTCTATCCCTCCCGATAAAGTCGAACAGTTCCAGAATGAAAGAAAATGCACATTTGATAACTTTCATATATGGAACAAGTATATTTCCCCGCTTATTCAGACGGGTCCGTTTGAAGCTCACATTCAGGTCCCTCTCCTGGACCACCTAGGAGCACACCCGCAGCACTATAATCACTTGACATCCTGTGGAAACTCTAAAGCTTATAGGAATTTACACCAAAGAAATCATCAGGGAGGAGAACGATCCAATACATAGACCCTAGCATCCGCTCTACCTGGCACCCTAAGCTGGATTTGCAATATAAAACAAAAATAGGGTTCAAGTAAAAGCAATTAGTCTGATCATTATTCTTTTCCTCCATGGCCTGGGAGCTATGGGACTCTGTGGTGAAGTGGTGCTTGCTTTGGCAGGTTGGACCCCACAGGTTTGTGCTGCATCTACACCATGGCCCAGAGCGAGACTCCATCAACGACAATGAAGGGAAAGCCTTTAAAGATGAACTGCTTACCATGCTCCCATCCCTTCCTTGCCTTGTACAATTTTCTTGGCGCATTCAATTGTCTTCTTTAAATCTGGATTCAGGAGAGCTGTGGAGAAAATGAATTGGGACAACAACATGCTATTGGAAGACAACTAAGTTAGGGAAGGTGCAGAGGGTTCACACCTTGAATGGCCTCTATGTGCTTCCAAGAATAATTCTATTCCTAGATTTTTTTCTTAGGCCACCTTAGGGGGTAGTAGGGTATAGTCATATTTGACTAAACCCATTGCCTTTTTTGTCTTATAATTCTTAACTCATTTTTATTATAGATAGAGATATTTGAACCTGTTGTTGTTCAGAAGAGAACTGGTGGCATGGTGGTTGGGCTGCCAACTACAATGTCAGCAGTTCTAAACCACCAGACACTCTGCCAGAGAAAGACGAGGCTGGCTGCTTCCCAAAAGAGTTACAGTCTCAGAAACCCACAAGGGCGGTCCTCCTCAGTCCTAGAGGGGCACTATCAGTCTCAATCAACTCGATTGCAGTGAGTGTGGTTTTGGGGGCTGGGGGTGGGGTTGATTGTTGCTAGGTGCTGTTCCAACGCATAGCAACCCTGTGTACAACCAAATGAAGCATCCTTACAATCGTTCTTATGTTTGAGCCCGTTGTTGCAGCCACAGTGCCAATCCATCTCATGGAGGGTCTTCCTAGATTTCGATGCCCCTCCACTTGACAAGCTTGATGTCCTTCGGTCTCTCCTGATAACGTGTTTAGATGTATTTAGATATCTAGATATCTATATAATATGTATGCTGTGCTAGACACTACGAGAGACAGTGGAGACATACGTGACAAACATGGCAAACCAGACCCTACCCTCAACAGAGCATGCAGCCTGGAAGAGAGTAGAGTCGTAACCATCGCCACCGAGTTGATTCTGACTCACAGCAACTCTATAGGACAGAGAAGAACTGGCTCCCAGGGCTCCCATCTTTGTGGAGGCAGGCTGTCACATCTTTCCCCTGTGGAGTAGCTGGAGTGCTCGAACAGCCAACCTTTCAGTTAGCAGTCAATCACTTAACCTCTGCATGGGAGGGCTCCTTGGTAGAGTCAAAGGCAGTTGTCATACAGGGATTCCTGGAAGGATGGGCAGGGGCATGAGGGGGAGGATACAGCACGAAATGGGAGCACTTCGGAGGGAGGATCATTTAATTTGGACGTGAAGGGCAAGGGAAGGGTGAATGGACCACTTGACCTCTGAGGAGTAGATATGGAAAGGGGGTTGTGGGAAATCTCTGGAAGAAAAGTTGTTCCGGGAGAGGGGATAGCATGTGAAAGGGCCCAGGGGCGCTCCTGAGAAGCTGACATGTCTATGCCTTCCTCCTTCCTCTTCCAGTCTCCTGTTGGAGTATGGAGACCAACACCTCACCCTTTGGATGAATGCAGAAACTCCCTTCTTGTCTACAGTCTCCCTCTTTCCTAATCTGATCTGATTGCTTTTCCTTAAAGTGTCACTTCAGTTTCCCCCTCTGTGGTCATTGCATAATCTGTTGTCAATTTGAGACTCTTAAGAATTAAGGGGTGGAGTTTAGCCTGTCAATCAGGTCGCAGCTTGATGACCTCATATGGAGGCTTTAAGGAGATAAATAGCTTGCTTGAGGTGGGACACACACACACACACACACACACACTCCCTGGGAGACATTCCTGCTGACAAGCCACCTGGAGCTAAGCTGATGGCAGTCAGAGCCGTGGAGCTAGAGAAGCCACATGGAGTTTACCCACGCCAGCACTGAAATGCTTCGACCACCACTGGATCCACAAGACTTCCCACTCACTGGGCTGTGATCTTCCTGCATTCAGCATCATGGCATGGCTGCATGAGTCTAAAGAGAAATGTATGGACTAGTATTGGCATATGGGGTCATATCAGACTTATGGACTTGATCTGGACTGGGCTGGGATATTTTCTTAATGTACAATTGCTCTTTTACATAAAGCTCTCTCTTATACACATATGATTGTCTATAAATTTGTTTCTCTAGTCAACTCAGACTAACACACCCTCCAAAACTCACTGCCATCTTCAGAATCCTAGATCCTTTAAAAAGAAGAAGAAGAAGAAGAAGAAAACTCACTGCCATTCCAACTCATAGCGACCCTACAGGCAGGGTAGAACTGCCTCTGTGGGTCTCTGAGACTGTCACTCTTTACAGGAGTAGAAAGCCTCATCTTCATCCAGCAGAGTGGCCGTGGCTTTCAACTGTTGACCTGACAGCAGCCCAACTCATCACCTACAGCTTAGAGACCGTACACATCACTTCCTGTGGCACTTTTCCCCAGCGTATCCCATAACCTGGGCCCTCCATTCATGGAAACTGTAGTCATTCAAGCTCTACCACTGATGGGCTTGCCTGCTGTCTCCCGTCCATTCTGAATTCTTTCCACGCAGCTTTGATTCAATACAGGCGGCACCCAGATTATGCACGTCCAACTTACGGACAAACCAACTCCTTCAAAGCCTATTCTATTTCAAATTCAAGATACATACAGTGGCTCATGGCAACATAAGGGCACTAGGTTATGACACAATAAAAACAAACAAACAAAATACTTATTATGGCATTCCAAGGGGACTTCAAATATTCATGAAAAAAATAGAATTAAAAAGTAATGTAATTTCTCAAAAAACTTTTAGAAGCCCCTTTGCGTTATGTTAAAAAGTTAGTGTGTAATCAGAGTAGGCCTTTACTTATATCTATTATTTACATACATGTATATATGTAATCCTGGTCTCCAATTTCCTTGTGAAAAACAACTACTCCTCTTTTACTGACCACATTGCTATCCAACATTTCAAATTTCAGCACATCAGTCATAAAGATCTTCTATCCAACTATGGTATGCGTTAGAGACGCACACCCTGCGGATAAGAGGGGCTGTGCTGATTAAGCTTCCGTGTCATCTTGGCTGAGTCACGATCCTCAGAGGGGTGGCACTTACGGAATGCTGTACTTTGGCACAGCAATGCCATGTGGCCGTGAGGTGATCGTGACATCGTCCTCCTCCATTTGGTGATGTGATGTGGTCATCCTCCATTGTAGCATATGGCTGGTTTTGCTTACCGCCTGCTCTTTGGAATGTAGCCAGGCCAGGAGTGAGGAGGGGGTGTACAGTATTGGAAAGAAGGAAGCTGCATTCATCAAGCACCAGCAGTAGTCAACCCCAATCACGCTCCACCTTCTACATACCCTGTCCAATTGTAAAGTCAAAAAAACTCTAGTGACCTCGGGACTGTTGTATCCATTTTACAGGTGGGAAAACTGAGGCTCAAATCACACAGCTAGCAAAGGATCGGGAAAAGGCCAAGATTCTACTTGGCCACCAAGTCTGGCCTGGTCCTGTTCCCTCTCCCTACTGGATAGGAAAAGTATACAATACTTCTCATAGGGCTCAGCACCTCTTCCTTATTTAACATGGAGTCTAGAGCAGTGGTTCTCAACCTGTGGGTCTTGAACCCTTTGGGGGGCTGAACAACCCTATCACAGGGGTCGCCTGATTCATACCAGTAGCAAAATGACAGTGATGAAGTATCAATGAAAATAATGTTATGGTTGGAGGGTCACCACAACATGAGGAACTGTATGAAAGGGTCCCGGCATTCAGAAGGTTGAGAACCCCTGGTCTAGAGCTTGTTGCTCATGATGACTTGCTGCCTGGTGAATCCTATTCCTCGGTGGCTGCAGATTCTCAGGGAAGATTCCCTTTCTCTTCTATTTAGAATGTCCTTGCTCTGGATTTCCTAGCTCTTCCTTTTCACTGAGCGTAGTCCCTGGACTGGGTGTGGGCAGGTCTCAGCTTTCTGTGGGCATCTCCAAAGTATCTCCCCTCTTGCACTGGTTCTGTTCGCTCAGTGACCATTCAGCCCACGTAGTCGGCTACAAGGATCACCTGATGCTGTCAGCGTCATCACTGACTGCAGTCCTCACTTGCTCTTCTTTTGAACCACTAAGGATTTGTCTCCTAGGCATGTGGCAATTGGACATTGAAGAAGGAAAACCAAAGAATGAATGCTTTGAATTATGGTGATTGGAGAAGAGCAGCGAAAGCACATGGACTGCCAGATGAGCAAACAAGTCTGCCTTGGAGGACACAGCCAAGGATGCTCCTTAGAGGCAGCTATCGTGAGGCTTTGCCTCATGTTCTTGGGACGTGTTGTCAGGAGAGACCAGTTCCAAGAGAAGGACCGTGCTTGGCCAAGTGGAAAGGCAGCAAAAACAACAAAAAGAGGAAGGCCTTGGGCAAGATGGATGGACACAGTGACTGCAACCATGGGCTCACACATAAGGACCATTGTGAGGATGACGCAGGACCTGGGGGTGTTGGTTCCGTGGTGTTAAGGAGTCACGATGAGTCAGAACTCCGACTTGAGGCCCCCGACAACAACGGGGATTTGCCTTCCTCTCTTGATGGGTGCGTTCGAAAATGGCAAAGTGACAGCACCGGTTCCCCCAAAGTAAGGAAGTAGGGGCCGAGTGTGAGTGACCACAGGCCCTGCAGGAACCCAGTGCTCCTGCAGCTCCAGCTCAGATGGTCTTGGGTGAATTCTGCTTCCTCCCCGCCTCCTCTCGACGCCCTGACACCTCTCTGTCCATTTGGGCGTGGGGTTCCATTGCTGCGTTCCCAGGTGACTTTGCCTGACTCACCACAGCCCTTTCTCACTGTCTACTCTTGTCATGGTCCCATTAAACGTTCAACTACTACCTAGAGGTGCCTCAGAAGACAGGCCTGGCGACCTTCTTTGGAAAGGTCACAGCCTGGAACATCCTCTGAGGCAGTTATGCTTGGCACACATCGGGTCACCGTGCGTTTGGATTGTCCCAACGGCAGCCAGCAGCAGCAACCACGCTGGAAGTACCTGTGCTCAGGCCCCTGAGCTTCTGCCTTAGATACAGTTCAGCTCAGATCCTGCTGGGCTCTCCTCCTCCCTCCTTCCAAACTTACCCTTCCAGTCTGGCCCTGGGAAAGGCAGACTCCTGAGCACCCCACCACCATCCCCAGATCTCCCGCATGGAACAGACGAAGGGGCTTACTAGAGCATGACACGTGGCAACGGTTCTTGCCGCGGTCGCACCACCCGTTATTCCGGATCTGGAAGAGGCCATAGCCAGTGTAGTCACCATGCAAGGTGTCGTAGACAGCGGTGGGGTTGAACTTGCTCTCGAAGTAAGCCAGGCACACCCCTAAGACAGACCAGGAGATTTGCTGCTGTACGGGAAGCTGGAATTGGGTTACGTGGGCCAGGGATGGGAGGGATGGGGTGGAAAGAAAAAGGGGTTGAGAGGGTCACACTCACAGTTTTCAAGACTATAGCCTTCAAAGTCATTCAGGCCTCCTTCCTGGAGCTTCTTAGCCACCTTGCAACGCCCTAAGACCCGAGCTCCACTTGGCACCACGAGGTAACTGATGAGGGAGAGGACCACAGGAGCCTTCATCTTCTTCAGGATGTTCAAAGTGGCCGCGCGCGCGTGCACAAGCAGGTGGAATCACAGATAATCCCTACAGCATGCCAGGGGCCCTGGTTCCTCTGAAAGAGAAGAAGGGGGCTTGGGGAGGGGCTGTGTGGCATTCAGTGTGTTTAGGAAAATGGGAGTCCTGCTGTCTTCTTCATGATGCTCCCTCACCACCTAACACCTTGCTTGGTGTCACTGCAAGCCTGGGACATCTGAGACTTTGCCTCTTCTTGGCCTCCTATTTCCCAAGGATAAAATCTCGAGAAGCCCACCCCCTTCCCCCACCCCCACCCCCTACGTGCTCTGGTCTCTCACTCTAGCAACACCCAATAGCCTTTCCTTGGTTTGTCTCTCATTTGTTTCCTTTTGATCTTAACTAGAGGCGTTCCGTTCCTCTCTGCCCCTCCGTGGTAAAAACAGTATTTGTTCCGGCAGTACATTTAGGAAACTAGAGAATTAAAAGTTCCACCATGTTCCCACCACCCAAACACAATCCTGCACATATTCCACGTTATAGTCTTAGCCTCGGGTTTGTCAACAAACCAAACTCCACCATCCTTGGTCACTCAAGGAGGCAAACTTAGGTCCCGTCTAGACACACCCACTTACTAGTTGGACAACTACCAACAAACCACTGAGTTTCAGAAGGCCTCCGCTTCATCCTCTGTGAAAAGGGGTCAGCCACAGGCCACAGGATGTTTCAAAAGACTAACCGAGACTCTGTTTTCAGACGACAGTATCCCTCGGTAGCATTATCCCATCTATCTTCTACTACTTATAAAAATTCTTCTTGATGACCGCCTTCCTACCACATGGAGGGGTGTCCAGCAACAACGCCCCTTTGCTGGGTGTTTTTCTTTTGCTTTCAATTCTTGCTATGTTCAGCAATGAGTATGATGGTCCATCTTTGGTTTTCCTTTAAAGTAGACTCCAGAAATGCAAGTCCCACAACCCAAACCAGAAAGCATGAATACTACGTTGATGTTTGTGTTAGTCTGGGTGGACTAGAGCAACAAATTCATAGACACTTGTGTGTATGAGAGGGCTTTATATAAAAAAGCATTTGAATATTGAGATAACATCCCAGCTCAGTCCAGATCAAGTCCATCGGTCTGATATTAGCCCCTATGTCCGATACCAATCTATAAATTCCTCTTCAGACTCATGCAACACATGCAATGACGCCAAATGCAGGAAGATCACAGGACAGTGAGTGGAAAGTCTTGTGGATCCAGTGGCAGTGGAAGCATCTCAGCGCTGTCAGGGGTCTCCACATGGCTCCTTCAGCTCCAGGGATCTAGTGTAGCTCCATGTGTCTTCTCAATAGGAATGTCTCACAGGGAGTCAGCGCGTGTGCTGCCTCCAACGAGCTATTTGTCTCCATTGTCCCTCCACATGAGGTCATCAAGCTGCTACCTGATTGACAGGCTCAACTCCACCCCTTCACTCTCAAGTCTCAAATTGACAACAGATTATGTAACTACCACATTGTTGTTGTGGGCCATCAAGTGAGTTTTGACTCATAGAGACCTGGGTACAGCAGAAGGAAATACTGCCAGGTCCTGCACCATCTCCACAGCGGTTGTTACCTTTGTGTCCGTTGTTGCAGCCACTGCGTCAATCCAACCCCTTGAGGGTCTTCCTCTTTTTCACTGACCCTCTCTTTTACAAAGCATGATGTCCTCGCCCAGGGCTGCTTTCTCCTGCTAACATATCCAAAGCGCATGTGACAAAGGTATGCCATCTTTGGGACATCTAAGCAACCTGATGGCTGTATTTCTTCCAAGGCAGATTTGTTTGGCCTTCCTGGAGTCCGTAGTACTTTCAACAGTCTTTACCACACCACGATTCAAATGCACCGATTTTAATTCGATCTTCCTCATTCGTCATCCAACTTTCACATGCACATGGGGTGATTGAAAAATACTATACCTGGGGTCAAGGGCACCTGAGTGCTCAAAGGGACACCCTTTCTCTTCAACATGTTAAAGAGATCTTGGGCAGCAGAGTCACCCAATGCAATGCATCATTTGATTTCTTGACTGCTGCTTCCGCGAGCATTGACTACTGACCCATGCAAAATGAAATCCTTCATTCACGTAGTCAGCCTGCTTTCTCAAAGGTGACATTAAATTAAGGTGCCATGAGCGATGGGGAAGGTTGTCCCTCCCAGGACACTGACTTGTTGCCCATCAGTTTTATCATTACAAAGAAAAGTGAGAAAAAGCTTTGTCATTTTGGCAGGTTGAAAAAGGCCAATTAACTCCTTGAAGGCACTGGGTTGGTCTTGCTCTACTTCCCCTGGGCTCCTCCCCAGCCACCCTTCCTTCCTGTGACCCTCTTCCCTTGGACCAGACACTTTGGCCACACCTCCCTCTGCTCTCACTTCTCTGAAGAGCACCAGCTCTCGTGTGACACGAGGGTTTTCACAGCTCTGCCATCCCACTGCCCTCATCCCAGGGGACACTTGCCCACATGGCCCCTACCAGTCCTCTAGCACCGCAAGCCCAGCACTGGCGGTCTTCCCAGAGCCTGGGATGGACACAGGTGATTCAACAGGCAGCTCCTGATCACCTCAGGCTGTGCTTCCTGGGCAAGTGTCTGAGCTTCCCATTTCCTTGTGTGGACGCGGTGGATCACCAGCATAGTGAGGTTGTGCAAAAGTCACTTGCACTATGGAAGACTGTAGAAGATCCTGGAAGACTCGATGCCTTTGGATTGTGGTGCTGGGGAAGAATAGTGAGCGTAACACGGACTACTCAAAGGACAAACCGATCTGCGTCGGAACAAGTCAGGCCAGCGTGCTCCTTAGAGGTGAGGATGGCAAGACTTCATTTTACATACTTTGATACTCTAAGCATGTCGCCAGTCCCTGGAGAAGGACATCATGTTTGGTCAAGAGGAGGGCCCTCGCTAAAATGGGCTGACACTGTGGCTACACCCCTGGGCTCAGGCACAGGAGCAGTAGTGAGGGTGGCACGGGACCGTGCAGTGTTTTGCTCAGTTGTGCTTGGTCGCTATGGGTCGGAGCCGAATCAACACTCTCTCACAACAACGAGGTACTTGTGTGTGTCTGGAATTTCAAGCACATAAGAGTAAGAGGTTGCAATCCCTCCTTTCTGTCAGTGGTCTCACTGCTACTTTGAGGATAGAGCCGGGAGGAGAGAGACATCGTTTTCTCCTGACTTCTCCATGCTGAGCAAAGTAAAAATAAAACCAAACTACTTGCTGTGGAGTCGAGACTGTTCGGGACCATGAGTGGTAAACACAGTTGGATGCAACCTCACCCCTTTGAGTGAAGGTTCCCTTCTTCCATGTTATGGAGAGAGGGAAGTGTAGACTCAGGAAGCTTAATTAAGTTTACACACACACATCGGTTTGTTGTACTGTGGTGGCTGGTGTGGTGCTATGATGCTGGTTTCTTAAATACTCTCCAGACTACTCACTCTCTTGGGTGCCTAGATCCATGCTCCACACATGTACTAGAAAGGCCTTTTCAAATCCATGTACCCAGTCATGTGACTCACCTCCAGTGGGTTCCTCTTGCACCTTAATTAAAGCCCCAATTCCCCTCAATCTGGCTGGCAAGCCTCTTGCTGAGCTAGCCCCGCCCACCTCTCCAGTCAGATTTCACACCACTCACCCCTGTGTTCACCATCAAATCCCCCCAGCATTTGCCTCCTCTCTGATCCTTGGGTGTGCCAATTGCATGCCCACCGCAAGCCCTTTGCCCCACCATGCCTTCTGAAGCCGATTTTCCTCGGCCACCAGGCAACCTGTCCTTGCTGAGCTTGGTCTCCCCTCACAGGTTCCCTGGGGCCTGACAGAAGACGGCCTGCCTCTTCCTCCGAGCCTAAGACAATGTCAGAGAATGCCTGACTCCTTTGCTTGTTCATCTGTCAGGTAGGCGATTGTCTGTCTGCCCCCCATACCATAGGGTGAGCATCAGGGATGCAGAATCCTTGTTTGTTTTGGTCTCTGCTTTCTTCAAAGAGCTTCGGACAGAAGCCTAGCACACAATAAGTGCTCCATAAGGCTTTTTAAATGAGTGAATGAATGCATGAATGAATGAATGAATGAACGAACGAACCTACTCTACCAGAACTGTCATCAGAGGTACACCGAGGGAGCTTGCTGATTTGAGACTCACGCTGCTGGCTGTCCTCAGCTTGTGTTGGCGCCCCCCCCCCCGCGCCATTTACCTACCTATTTACCAGTTCATGGGTCCTCCGCAGATCCACTGGGACCCTTTCCTCGCTTGCCACAGGAAAGCTCTTTCTACACTTGCTTCCCCAGATTTTTTTCTAATTCAACTTCCTTAATAACCCATTTGCCTTCACTCACTAGTTTCTAACTCCTTCTCTGTGGCCTGCTCTTCTGGAACCTTCTCTGTGACATCAGAGTTGCTATGCGCCAGAATATTCCAAAACAAGGGGAGGCCTCTCGCCGTCACGTTTCCTGTGACCAATCGATGGCGGCTCTAAGGAACGGCCACGGACGTGAGGACCTAAACAGCACATGCTGGTTGACCCTGGAGTTCTGGAGATGGGCGTCTAGCCAGGTTAAAAGCCAAGGTGTCCAAAGAGCAGCGTGCCTTTCAGGAGGCTCTAGAGGCGAGTCCATCCCCTTACTCACTCGGGTGGTTACAGCGTTCAATTCCCTGTACTTCAAGAACCAGGGTCCCCATTGCCTTGTTGGCTGACCAGTCTTAGTTTCTAAGGGCTATCTGAAATATCTGGCCTGGCCCTCCTCTCTTTGTCTCCTATGCCAGAAACCCCTTTGGTTCTCTCCCACTCCTTCCTCCACCGTTTTATTCCTCGGGCCCACATTTTTGCAAATCTCTCCTCCTCGTAAGGGCTTGTGCCATAAATGGACCTGCCTGGAATATCCCATGTCACCTCCTCACTTCAAGGCTCTCTACTTTAGTCATCTTTGCAAAGTCTGCTTTGGCTGTATTATCTCGGGTACTGGGTTTTAGGGCAGAG